CTAAAAATCGATCAAAATGCCATGTAAAATAGAGTGCACTAGAACTGAGATGAATTAATTCGGGCTTGATATTTTTGTTGAACTAATCATCGATGATTGATATAAATTTGATTGGATTGTACGAATAATAATAAATAATAATAGCTAGTTCTTATATAGCGCTTTTCAAGATCGAAGGCCCTCTCAAAGCGCTTTACAGATAATTACCCCGGTCATAGGATTCAGGCTTACCCGCACACAATGTATGCACATTCTCCACTCCCTGGGGAGCATTCCAGCCAGGCGTCTTTTTTACGAGCGCACACTTGCTAATCTAACCACATTAGCTTTCGCATCCTACCGGGTACCCATTTAACACCTGGGTGGAGAGTGGCAAATGTAGATCAATGTCTTGCCAAAGGACATTAGTGCCGCGGTGGGACTTGAACCGCGAACCTTATGATCCACAGTCCGGTGACATATCCACTCGTCCACGACACCTCTACTCACGAATCCAACCGATGTTTGATCCTTTTACACGTTCATCTGAATGGATGATAATGAGCAGGGCAATTAAGGCTCATCACAATAAGGGAAATGGTGACAAAACTTAATTCAAAGATTACGAGAAAGACATGCACGGAATATGTTTATAATGTGATTTTTCAAATTGTTTAGAGCGACATCGTTTTCATGATTTTTTCCTCCGCGAATATAATATCTGTGAAGTAATAATAGATAGCATAAAATTCCTCTATGGCGTGTATAATGCAAAGGTTGTATAAACGGAGCATGCACTCTCATGGGTGTAGAGGGGATGTGGAGGGGGGGGGGGGGGGTGGGTATTTCTCCCGCCAAATCCCTCGTCCAAATAAGGGGGGGGGGGGGAGGTGCCCTTTAATTTGTCCCTGGATCTGTCTTTGATTTATTTTCATTACGGCAGTTTATTGTGAAAATCTCGGTCAGGATCTAAATGGAAAGAGAATGACGAACAAGACGGTCCTGCAGAAAAAAGTGCATAAAGCAGTAGCAAGAACGTGGTTCATTACTAGGTGGCAATAATGTCCATAAATCATTATTAGCATAATTAAAAAAAAAAAAAAGTAATTATAGAGTCCAACACTGAGTTATAAGTATCACCTCTTTAAAACAGCATGTACATTAAAACTTATGGGAGTAAATCCATTTAACATGTGTGAACTATAGTGGGAGAGGGGCATCCTGCAATGACGTAGTCTATAAGGGATGGGGTGAAAACGCTGCTGTGGTGATGAAGAAGCATCGAAACTTAAAGTTCTGTAAAGCAAACGAGTGAAGTTGTGATAGTCGTACCTAAAAGATGAGTCCTTTACCCCCCCCCCCAAAAAAAAGCCTTTATTAATCTATTCCTGCTCCCCCCTCTCTCCCTCTCTCTCTCTCTACCTCCCCCTTCTTCTCTATCTATTCCTTCGATCCCCTTTCTCTCTTCTCTCTTCACTCTCTCTCTCTTCCTCCCCTCTTTCCCTCTTTTTCGCTCCTTTCTCTCTCTCTCTCTCTCTCTCTCTCTCTCTCTCTCTTTAGATCTTTTTCTCAATCTTTCTCTTTCCTCTTTTCCATTTTCTTTTGTTTTAGGTTCTATTAAAGTCGGATGGCAGATGAATTCTTCACGAATCCGTCATTCATTGTTTACAATATACCTGAAGGAAATCAGGAACTTGTGAATTAAGTCCCTATATGAGGAAATGAACAAAACAATGGTCAAACGACCTCAAGTTTTGCATAGAAATCACTATACAATATAGGCCTACTTCGTATAGCACACGTCTTCAGATAATTGAAATTCGAAGCTATGATGTCATCCTACTATTTTTTATATCTATACTGGAACTACTTTTCTCAGGTATGCTGAATATATTATGAAAATGAGACTGAGTCATAATTCTGGGTGGATTGTGTTAGCAGGTATAATATTATCGGCACATCAGTTTCTAGCCTATCAATTTAATAGTGTTTTTTGTTTTTGATACAACGGACTCACGAAATTCCAAGTCTATAATTTATGTGATAATTATATATATATATATATAAAGAAGACAATTATCGTGCTCTTGATGACTGTGATGTCTGCTTCCATCTCCGTAGAGGTTATGTAGGCCTACTAGTACTAGGGAAACCATTTTCGACACATTTCTGTCTACCTCTATCTCTCTTACCTTCTTTCTTTCATGTCCTATTTTCCCTATTACTCTTAACAATATTCTTAATTGTCCCTCACCAGAATGCCATTGGTTATTGTCAATTTCTGTAGAGTATCAATTATTGCTTGATTTGGGAATCTGTTTATCCTATCTCTCCAACTAACAATAATTTGAACGTGTACATTGTTATACTTTTGACGGGAAAAGTGTCCGAAGTCATGTATTACATACCCCCCAAAGTAATTCACTATTAACGAGAAACTAAGCGTTTTACAAATTTGTTGATCTTATAAACGACCTCTTGATACAGGTCAACTTTCCCAAGTATTTAACAAGGGGGCGCTATATCACAATTTGCACCGTGCGCGAAGAGTCGACAGAGATCGTGGCGGGAGGGATGCATTGCAGTGGTCGAAATGGTCAGGTCGCTTTAGTACACAACAAACTAATATGCTACGTTGGGCAGACTCTGCATGTGCTTTAAAACAGCTCTTGTATGGATACAGAAAAATTAGCAAAAATCGGTTTTAATCGCGCCTACTGCATGCTTTGTAAAGTAAAATACACCAGGCAATGATTTTTTATATAATCTCGTTTAATATTGTTTCTGGCAAACAAGTTGATAATAACGCATCAGCATCGGACGGTGGACCCCGGGGTGCGGACCACAGCGCCTTTTAGTTTACAAATAATTGTGACCGATTGCAACCCTAAAATTAAATACAAATCCTACATGCGCTTTTCGGAATGGCCGAATGTCAAGTCGCCTTCGGAATTGCGTTTTATCGCAACTTATTGCAAAACAGGCGGCACTAGATCAATTTGACTTTTCTCCACTTCAGGTCGAAATCGTTGACGTATTGAACTTGATGATAAACTACACTTCTCTTCAATAAATAATATCATTGTTTATCCACTTCTCTAGGAATAGATTGTCTCTTTAAACTACAGTTCCTTCATTGGCTGTCTAACTTTCCGTCTAAACCATTTCTCACCTTTGCCATTTCCCCCATCTCTTCCGCATACTCCCCCGAACTCATCTTCTACCTCATCTTCACATGGATTTTCCTCTCGAAACATTTTCGTGGTACATTGTATCTCTTGAGTCAGAATATTTCTAGCAGTTGGATTTTTCCCTTCGAACATTACAAATACTCTCTTAAGATCTCTTGATCACATATAAAAATGACACACGGACGAAAATGTAACTTTTCTCCATATAAGAAATTATTCATTTATTATCAAAAATTTTATATTTTCTGATAGGCGTTTAGGCGTTTAACATCAATATCATTACTGCATTGAGTCGTCCAATCTATATACCACTTTCACTAATAAATTATTATACTGTATTCATATACATATTATTTCAGATTTAACGTGAGAAATTTCACCTCTTGTAAACAAATAGAAAACATAGGGATTCCACACCTGTCACAGTGACCGTCCGTTGAGGTCACAGACGTCTTTTGTTTTAAAGGATGCTTGCTATTGTTCCCATTTCAATATAACTAAGGAACCAGGATGCACATAAAGGCCATTTTCGTAATGTAACCAAATCTACCGCATACGTCTTTGTAAAGTGCCTTGATACGAAATATTCCATACACCTGTTACAAATAATTGTATTTCAACAGTCAGTATGCAAATTGCATAAATGACATGTTGTTAAGTAGAGCAAGCCAATAAAATATTGGTTGTTATACCTAGCAACAACTACCAGGCACATAGCCAGAGTTTGATGTTTTTTTTTTTTTTTTTTTTTTGGGGGGGGGCACATACATGTAATCGATCGAGGTAAAAAAAAGGGGTCTACAAAATTTCAACCGATCTTGATTTTTTCTTTTTTTTTGGGGGGGGGGGGCACGTGCCCCCGTGCCCCCCCCCCCCCCCCCCCGTGGCTAAGTGCCTGACAACTACTACTAATAATATTCTGCTTTTATACAGCGCTTAATAAATCGATGATGTGATGTCTCTAAGTGCTTTACAGACTTATTATTACCCCGGTTATCGGATTCAAGCTTTGTGACTATTGAAATACAATTATTAATTGACAGACAAATGAAATAATTTGCATCAAGTTACTTCACAAAGACGTAAGCATTGGATTTGGTTACATTGCGGTTACATTACCCAACCCTTCTCATTAAAATCAGACAAAACAATTTTCAAAACCATTTTCATAAACCATAAAAGATGGACAAGAGTTCTAAATAAATACAAGAATCGTTTTTTTTTGTTCACATTTCCCCTTTATCTGGGCATCTTTCCATTACTTTTGCTCATAAATTCTGATGAGAAAAGTTTCTTTTTCAAAGTTATTACTAACTCTTTTACCTAAGAGCAACTCCGCACTATTTTGTTTCAAACCGGGATTCTAAGTCTCATGACCAGCATAATATAGGAACAGAGCTAGTGCATCCCATCAACCCCGACTTGACATAGATTTCTTAGCATTACAATTATTCATTATTTATTGATAACTGCATTAAACTAATATAAGGCGAAAAAAAATCAGTATTCAGTAGAATACCTTCAAAACGAACAATATTTCTTGTTGATAAATGTAACAGACAATGTTATAATTTTAAGTATGTTACCGAAATATGCCTCAAATCAAACCTCTCAGTTTAACTGACACAGACATGGCGAGCATCATTTGCATATTAAAAGATATCATCATCATATTTTTTCTGGTTGTGTTGGTTATTAAAGGTCAAAGTATAGTCACACACATGGGTGTCGATCCGTAACTGATACCTATTCATCAGGGGGGGGGGATGATCTATTCATTCATCCCCCCTGATGAATAGGTATTACGTAAGTATCGACACCCATGGTCACACACCTAAATTCACTTAATAAGATCGAATTAAACAACTTGATTATTAAATAATCAAAGTGAAATGCACTGTTGTCATAGATGAGTTGCGTGCGAGTATCTCCCCCGTTTTTCATCCCAGAATTTGACACTCGTATACCCGTGGACGGTAACAGCTGAGGTCGGCAGGTCATCCGCATCGTCATCAGGACGGTCTAATGTTGCACCCTCGCTAGCCCTTCGAAAGCGTGGTCGATACGATTGTTTGGTGTACGACCGGGTGCCGTCGGATAGGGTTTCAAATTTCTTCAAAATGCTTACGAGTTTCTTTGGTACTGTATCCTGTGGTTCTTCTTCTACTTTCTGTACTGTGAAACGACTAGGGGTAGGGTTTACTGGCTTTCCGGATTTCTCACCAACGTCTGATTTTATACCAGAGTCAATCACCGTTTGTCCTGCCGAGTCATTTTTAAGGCGGTTATCTTTTGGATCATTTTGTTTATCCTGAAGAGGGTCTTTCACTGACTGTACACTGAAGCGGCTCGTTGGTTGCTTGGAGACAGATGATACTGTTTTTCCAACGCCAGCAGAACTTCTCCGATGCGACGGCACTCGAAGGTATTTGTCTGCTGGTATATCTCTACCAGGAATATCACTACCTCTTCTTGTCTGTGACGCTTCTTTCCTCTTCAGTTCATTTTCATCAATTGAAGTTACACTGAATCTAGATGTGGTAGGCGTCGAGACCGACTTTTGAATTTGGGGCGGTAACTGGACTTCTGTTTCAGGAACCTTAGACACACTGAACCTCGGCTTACTGGGTGTGGTGGATTTCACAGGAACGGACGTACCATCCCGTCCTGATTTTGATAATCCATCATCTGGAACTGTCGTAACTGCAAAACGGGAAACACTTTTATTCCGATTTTGATCAGATGTTGAAGCTCCGTCTGATCTAGATGGCAATTGTTCTGCGGAAACCGCTGTAACATTAAACCTGGAAGGTGTTCCTATCTTATTTCGAACAGTCGTAGGAGCTCCTTCTGATTTCAAAGGCATTTCCTCCTCAGGAATCGACGAAACACTGGTCCTGGATAACCGTTTCTGGTATAAACCCCGCACGGAATTCCTGGGCACACCTTTGGAAAGTGCTTCATTTGGATCGTACAATACTGCCGTTGTGCTTTCATCTCCGTCCTCACTCACTACAACACTTGGAATGTATTCAAAAGATACTCTGTGCTCGCTTTGAGGGCTATCAACGAAGTGAATATTATCATTACCATGCTCAGAATGATTATTATTATCCCTGTCTATAAGGTGAATTAATTCACTGGTGCTGTTGATTTTATCATAATTGTAATTGATCGACTTTTGCATTGAGGCCTGGGACTTTGGCCGATGGTATTCAGAGTCCGTCGCGTTCTCCTGGATCTTCCGAAGCTCTAACTTGAGCTGCCGGGCGAGTTCCCCGCCGGTGATGGTGTTGAGGGTGGTATCGTAAGGCTGGCTTACTCGTCGGTCGTACAACGAGGTAGCCATCAGCGCTCGCCGGAGCTCTGCTTCCAATCCTTCTTCTTCCGGTTCACTGTCTTCTTCCTGATCTCGGGTCATTAATTTCTTAACCCTGCGTTTGATTTGCTTACAGGAGTCCCGGGTGCAGACAGCGGCGAAATAGATGACGAATACGGCGGTGAAAGCGATGGCTATTCCAATGTAAATGGTCTCATTTAGCTCCAGCACCCTGTCGCCCAGGTAATATGGTAGGCCGTCTGGTAATCAACAAGAAAAAAAATAAAACCTATGAAGATCCACGAGAATACAATAACCAACAATGATATTAAAGATTATCTGTATTATAATCATAATAGGAAAAAAAAGAATGCTGTGTTCAAATTTATTTCAGTCCGTCGTTGATGGTAACGGTTCATGTACATTTCTTTGACAGACATTTACAAGTGAAGCAAGTTACCCTAAACAGAGAAAAGTCATCATTTACAAGTTGGGTATCTGACAAGCAACTACACATGTACCCGGACAATCGAATGGACAATTGAAGTCAGAATTTGGAAACGGTATCAAGCCATGGTGTTTGACTTAATACGTCATCATTTTAAAAACAGGTATTCTTTCGTTGTATTTGTTAAAGCTGCTTGTACTTTCACATTTGATTTGTAAGAGAAACTCTGTGGTATACTAGTTATAGATCTACTATAATAAACAGATACCTTCGCATCCGACCGTTTCATCGGAGTTATCACCACAGTGATTGACCGAGTCACATCTGAGAACAGCCGGGATGCAACGACCATTGCTGCATAGGAACTTCTTGTAACCTAGGCACAGGGAACCATCTACAAGGAAGGGAAAAACAAGTCGCAATTGATTTAGGATTTTTGATTTTATCATAACCACAAAATGAAAAGCAATATATGAAACCAGGGATATATATTGGACACGCTAATCCCAATCAAATTCTTCACTAGAAATATTTTGTTATCAGAGTTGTATCTTGAATTTTGATAGCTCGTTAACGCCTTATTCTAAAACCGTGACAATATTCTCGGGACATCCACAGAATTATATCATAATCTTAGGCCTACCAAGTTAAAAATGCCAATTGCATTCTTGAATTACGTAGGCCAAAGCGTATACACATCTGACCCCTTTTCCCTTTGTCTGAAACCCGTTTCCTTATCCAATGGAAGCTTACCTGCTGGTAACACATTCGTGAAGACCCCGGACCAGCCACGCCCACTCCCGACCCCATCCGAGACCAGATGGATGCGGAGAGAGGAGCCCTGTGACGCCACTTCCATGGGGGACGTCGTACCGCATATCCTCCGAGAGTCGACATCGTTACCGTCGTCATCCCTTGCTCTGATGTCACTGATCTCGAGGTAGTCATCGCTGCAGTCTTCATCCGACATCAGCTCACTGTCATGAAGCTGAAAGAAAAGTTACAATTCTTAAAATACACTAGAACAAGAGATTGGAACCATCGTTATATTGCTATTTTGCTTTGTTCCGTTAATTCCAGTATCCCACACCCATCAATCTTAAAATGATAAATTCTTCTTCTTCCTCTTTTTCTTTTTCTTCTGTTTCTCCTCCTTCTTCTTCTTCTGATGAAGTACAGTCATGAATTGAGTTAAAGATGGTCCAATAATAATTATAGGTTATGGGTTCATCGATATGCTTTACAATTAACTAATCCATCATTCTTAATCTTCATCGTATTAAAACATAGTGATATATTTTGTCCACTCACCTGTAAGAGTACCCGACCGTCACCACTGGGCGTTGCTATGGTAACCGTACAGTTGATGTTGGGAGGGTAGTAGAGCCCGCCCTGTGAGAAGATCATGTCGCCTGCTGAGTGGATAGTCCGCCCGCACTGGTTGATCATGTTCACTGAAAGAAGAAAACAAGAAATTCATTGAGTAAACCCTCTCTGCTGGAGAGAAGGAATGTTTGGTGGGGCAGACGGGTTGTGTTGGGAAGGGATGGGTGGATGACTCATGGTATTGCGAAAGTGAGAGAGACGATCCTCTTTCCTCGAGATTATTGTGGTTGTTCTCAAACCGTAACTTGTTTTAATTCAGTTAGATGGCTAGGTATTTTGTTTCAAAATTCATTCCAAGGTCAAAGTTATTCATTTTTGTTTCAAACAACGAGAAGAAAACGATGAAGTGATATTAAACAAAATGGAAAAAGGAATTTAAATAACGAAATGTAAAACCCTTACAAATACTCGATATACACATGTATTAAAAATAATGAAGAACCAGTTCAACAAGTTCAAATCAAAGTAACCTTTTCCTTAAATATTTTACCAGATAAACATTCGAGGGAGAAAGATCATGAGAAATCGTAGATTGCAACGCCGATGGAGCCTGCTCTTGAAAACCACTTCTTTTTTTTTCACGATGAGAAAATTATTATTCTAATCATTGAACAGAGAATATTAAACACTGTCTGGGGAGTGGAATGGGGGGGGGGGGGGGGGGCGGGGGGGGGGGCTCTGATTTCCCTTCAAAAGAACTAATTACTTCAGGAAATCTGCATCCCCCATGTATTGATGCTCATCTTAGCGGTTATTGTTCATAATCTTCGGGGAAATTTGAGGCTGCTTCTTGCGAGGAACATTTATTACGAATGACGTCAACAAATTGCACCAGCCATTCCAGAAGATTCGACGGACGAACATCATGACTAAATCGCACATTGGGGGAAATCCCACTTTTCCTTTGAGAAACTATTATAGCATGGCAATTTCAGTCTGTAATCTACATTACACAGCACATTTTGTTTCCCAACTTCGGTTAACTCTCTTTTCTCAATTTCCACATCCGTCGTGACTAAATGACATGCGAAAGGCTGTGCCAATTAGGATTTCAGAAACGAGGAAGACTTAACTTTTCTTAGAAAACAATCTTTATGGAGACGATATTTCACGTCTATATTATCATTCGAAATGGCTTGTAAAAATCGTCTGAAGTTCTGAAGCCAAAGTCTTTTGGGGATGGGGGGTGCACATGGATCACTTTAGGCGCCTTCAGGAACATTTATCAATGAAGACAGAGGGGAAAGAGGGAGGGAGCTAGGGGGTGGGGAGAAACTTTTGGAGGGATAGAAAAGCACATGTAATTGGAAAGTTGAAATGACGGTAATGACCCCTACATCCAAAAAGATGAACACAAGAACATGCAATACGCATTACCCATCCTAAGAAATGCTCAATGTGACTGTCATGAAAAATAGTAAAAACAAATTAACTACAATGATTGAGGCACATGTGAAATTATACTAATACATGCTTAAATAATTCTGAAATGATATTTAGTTCTCCACAACGAGTGGCTGACAGTGATCGTTCATTACCAATGGTTAAGGGAGGCACCATATCCATAAGGTAAACTGGTCTATTAACATGAAAGTCTATTGCTAAACCTATATCACATATCACTTTTGCTATTATCAGATTAGTCATAATAATAAACTTTACAACCGGAAACAATCCACATTTTATCAATGTATTATAGATCTCCGATTGTCTATCTTTTAGAGGAAATGGGCATTGACCAAAAAGACGGAAGCCTGGATAATGATTGATTAACGGGGATTGATCTGGCGTTTACGTAAGTTTTCTCAGGAACATCACCTAAAAGAGTCTATTTCAGCCATTTTTTCCAATAGGAAATGTTTCAGGGAGAAACACAAAGCGTTTGCATATTAAAAAATAATTACAAAGAAATGCATTTTTATAACTTGGTCAGGAAGAATGGTCTCTCTGAAATATTCAGAATAAGGGCATTTTATAACTTTAGCAAAAACACGTGATTCTATATAAACGGAATAACTGAAGATCATTTCTCATTGAAAAAAAAGGTAAACATCTATACCTCTATGTGTGCTAAAGTGGTATAGCTTTGCACATACTCTGAACCTTGCCTTGGAATTTTAATGACAAGGGATTCAATTATTTTCTGAATCAATATATTATCTCATAACACAATCAACTTTCAGATCAGTACATTTCGAGTATTGCTTTCCACTGACTTTCGCGATTTGTCTCCACTGTTTGAAATACATGATGCAAAAAAATAAATCTAAAGGTCAAAATGATTCTTTCCTCATGAACTATGATTCAAAGAAAGCGCTTGATATGAAATACAGGATACGACATTTCTTTTCATCCTTGGCGTTGTGTAACTATAGGTCCGGACAAAGGGGAAGCGTTGATGGGGGGGGGGGGGGGGGGGGGAGAAATCCTATTTTCACCCCCCTATTTCCCTCCTTATCTCTCTTTTTCTCTCTCTCCTTTTCGCCAGTTGCTTGATGGACGGGGGGGGGGGGGGGGGTGCCCCTATAGCGACCCTGACCATTTTACCTGTCACATCCTATAACAATTCTACGAGACAATCTCATTTCCCCATGTAGAAAATGACGTCGTACCCTTCACAAAATTAGTGATGGCGTGCTTGTACATACGGGCTTGACCGTCAAAGCAAAGCCGTGAACACTGGTGAACATTAAGGTGAATGCCAGCAATGTAGGAGCTGGATGGATTGAACTCTCAAGAATTTATTAGATGAGGGGGGCAAAGAATGGGGTCGTCTCTTTCAAGCGATGCATTACGTCAGCATCACATGATTGAGCCATGCAGTGATATTTTGGAAATGTTGTTTACTTGTTTTGAAGGCGCGCAAGCTATCTGCATAGTACAACGTAGAGTGAAAATAACTATGAAAATCACTGGTAAAACGAAAGTCCCCGTAAGGTCATCTCCCAAGATGGTGATGTAACACTGCTATTTCATGAAGCGCAACTTTCTAAATATTAAGAGTTCGAAGTAAAACCTGATGATGAGATAATGATATTTTTTATTTTGATCTTTTTGTTATGTTTTTTCCTGTTATAATTTGTGATATTTTCTTACAATGTATAATAGGTTATGTGTATAATTGTTAAGGGGTCATTTTCAATAAGCCAATTAGTGCTTTTCATGATCCGCCACTATTATTCATATGTATATGATATTGATTTTTAATTTGTTTTTAAAGTGGAAAAATTGAATTGAATTCCATAAGGAGGAATTAGGATGCTGATTACGATGATGAAATTGTTGTTGGTGTTGGTGGTGGTGGTGGTGGTGGTGGTGGTGGTGGTGATGATGACCAAATCAACGATGGTGATAATTATGACGATGATGATATTGATGGTAGTACATGATGATTAATGGATTATGATGACGGTGAAGTCTACCGCATGAATTTGATGATGGTGTCACCACGATAAGGAAGATGATGGAGGTGTATAAACAAAAGACACAAATCGATAAAAAATCATTTCAGTATTACAGATATGATTACGAGGCAAATGTGAAAGTATCCTGTATTGATAACAGCCAACCAACACAGATGAAGAGGGACGGTGATGAGGATGGTACAGACCACAACACATGTAAACAAATCAAGGTTGCATCAATAATAATTGGTAGGCTTTTTGTAGGTCACAGTCTATCAGTCGTCATCTCTCTCTCTCTCTCTTTCTCTCTCTTTGTCTCCCTGTCTCTCTCTCTCTCTCTCTCTCTCTCTCTCTCTATCTCGATCTCGAAGAGCTATGACATAATTAACTATCAATTAGAGAATCCCAGACGAATTAACTCTGACGGTCATGACGCTAGACCTTTCACTATTATATGATGATGTAGATAGATGTGAGTCTGTACTATATGGCAATGCAGGCGAGGGGGCGAGGGGGAGGAGCACAAAATGATGTAACATGTAAACAATAAACATGCAATAAACCAACAAACAAGCAAACAACAAATTTAATAAACCAGTATACTAAACAGCACCACATGCACAGAGCTTATCAACGGGGTTCCGAAAAAGGCTTTCTCCACATTATTCTTACCCCACTCTCCCCCTCTCTCTCTCTCTTTATATCTCCTATCTCTACTCCTCTCTCCCTCATTTCCATCCCTCTGTCTCTTCTATCCCTTTCTCCCTATGTTTTTTTGTTTATTTCTTTATATTTTCCTTTAATGTTCCATCCTCTTTCCGCATCTTCCTCCCTTTTCGTCATGTTACTCAACCCCGTCCCATGTGACCCCACTAACAAATGAAATAAATCTTGTAACAGGATAATACAGACGCTTTAGGGTGCGTTCAATCGAATTTTCGAAGCTAGAATCACAAACATGAATCACAAATCAAAACGCCGTTACAAAAAACAAGGTCATTGCGGTTAGCGTTCAAGCGATTTTTCATCAACACTGATTCTAGCTCATTTCGAGCCCAGCCACTGCGCATCACCCTCGCAATTTGACCCAGGAAGTATAGGTCAACTTCGGCGCGCGCTTTTTGGAATTGTTTACGGCTGACTGTCGACTGCTGTTTTGAGCATAGATCGCAATAATAAAACAAAGAATGAGAAGGTGATGGAAGGAAGAAACAAAAAATAATATAAGGAAAGACAAAAAGAGAAAGTGATAGAGTTATTAAAACAAAGAATAACGTAAGAGAAGGTGATATAAGGAAGAAACAAAGAATGACATAATGAAAGGCAGAAAGAGAAAGTGATAGGATGCTTAAAACAAAGAATTACATAAGAAAAGGTGATAGAAGTAAAAAACAAAGAATAACATAACAATAGAAGGAAGAAACAAAGAATAACAAAAGAGAAAGTGATAGAATAATTATAAAAACAAAGAATAACATAATGAAAGACAAAAAGGAAATGTGATGCAAGGAAGAAACAAAGAATAACATAAGGAAAGACAGAAAGAGAAAGTGATAGAATGATTGAAACAAAGAATAACATAAGAGAAAGTGATATTTATAAAAACAAAGAATAACATAAGAGAAGGTGATAGAAGGAAAAACAAAAAATAACATAAGAATAAC